TAAGTATTAGGACAAGTAGTGTATTTGAAGTAATCTACTTTGTTAGTCGTTTGATAGTAATTAGGTCAGCAGTAAGAGTTTAGGACAATAGTGTATTTGAAGTAATCTATTTGTTAGTGTTTGATGAATTAGGTCAGCAGTAAGATTTAGGGCAATAGTGGTATTTGAAGTAATCTACTTTGTTAGCGTTTGATGAATTAGGTCAGCAGTAAGATTTTTCTATTTCCCAAAATGTAAAGTTGAAAATAATTAAGAAATTTGAAATAGCCAAGCTAGGCTTAACTCTTAAACTTTAAACAAAATGTATGAAAATTAATCCATTCAAACTTTCAATGCAAAAAAAACAATTATCCATACATTTGCACTGTAAACTTGAACATTTTTGGGCAGGTAAACACTTGTGCGTTTTGCGTACAACCTGTAACATGGGAAGTCAGTTTGAAGTTTTTCACCAACATTCAAAGTTTCATACATGAAGGTTTTTATAGATCCATTTATCATACATACTTGTTTACTATTCCTGAAAAGTTTTATGGATTTTTTTTTCCACTTTCTTTATTGTGTTATCATTTTCTGCTTGGAGGAATTAATTAATTACCATCCACAACACGATTCTATGGTAAAAGTGATACTGAAAAGCGGTTCTCAGTTTACTCTAACCTGAACCTTTAGGAACACGGACGGCTATGGGTAGGTCAGCTTAATAGAAATACTAGTCAGTTTGACAAATATATTGGTCAGTCTAACAGAAATACTAGTCAGTTTGACAAATATACTGGTCAATTTGACTGGTTAGTTTGACAGAAGTACTGGACACTTTGGCAGAAATACTAGTTAGTTTGACAAATAAACTTTTCAGTCTAATAGAAAAACTGGTTATTTTGACAAATATAAAGGTCAGTTTGGCAGAAATACTGGTTAGTTTGACAAATATGGATAAACGGATTTAATGTAGTTCTGATTTGGAAATAAGGTCATGTGTTTATGTTCATGAAATGTATGACGTGATGAAAAAATTGTTAGTGTTTATAATTTTTTTGTTTTCTTTATAGAATTACAAAGTGCTTTGTTTAGATTCCAGTTCTTGGACAGAACAGCAGGAGCTGGAGGGAACGTTAAATGTTCCATCTCATCGTGGTAGCGTCAAAAAGGTGAGTCGGCAACATGATAGGAATATTAGCTAATCCAATCAAGTTCCACTTACCAGTGTAAATATATTTGTTACCTTTGGTGTTTTACAAGCAGGTAAATACTTTAAAAGGTTAGGAAGGGATGGGAGGGAAGCCTCATACCCAGAGATTTGTAATGTTAACTACTTGGTACTGATTTTTGTTAAATTTAAATTTTACTGTCACCAGCACTACAAACAGGCAGTGTACAAATTTTACTGTCACCAGCACTACAAAGGTGCGGCGTACAAATTTTACTGTCGGCAGCGCTACAAACGTGCAGTGTACAAATTTTACTGTCACAAGCACTACAAACGTGCGGTGTACAAATTTTACTGTCGGCAGCACTACAAACGTGCGGTGTACAAATTTTACTGACGCCAGCACTACAAACGTGTGATGTTCGTGTGGGAGCTGGTGATTGATATTCTTGACTTAGTTCATATTTCAGTTACTTAGGAAATAAAATAACAATTCTGTGTTACCCTACCCTAGAACATCAGCTTGGTTAGTTTATTGTACAAGCTTAACTTGTTTGAGGCCTTAGTTACCCCACACTGGCTTTCTAGAGTTAAAAACAAAATCCTTTACATCAGTCTTGTGCAAGCCACATCATGTTCTGCTTGAGATGTTTGATTATTTTTATAACTTTACTAACTTGAAGCTTTCTGTCATTATTATTCTCCAAAATGTTCTTTCTTAACAGTTATACCTTTGAAAAACACATCTTCCAATGTAGCAACCATTAGTTAAAATGTGCAAATAAAAATCATAAAACAACATAAAATGTGTTGTTGTTGGTGCTACAAGTTGTTAGATGACTAGTTCATCTTGACAATACTTGACAGCCAATGTTGTGTTGTTGTTGTTACTGTAAGTTGTAAATGGTTAGTTCATCTCAACAATACTTGACAGCCAGTGTTATGTTGTTGTTGTTGGTACTGTAAGTTGTAAATGACTAGTTCATCTCGACAATACTTGACAGCCAATGTTGTGTTGTTGTTGGTGCTGTAAGTTGTAAATGACTAGTTCATCTTGACAATACTTGACAGCCAATGTTATGTTGTTGTTGTTGGTACTGTAAGTTGTAAATGACTAGTTCATCTTGACAAAACTTGACAGCCAATGTTGCGTTGTTGTTGTTACTGTAAGTTGTAAATGACTAGTTCATCTCGACAATACTTGACAGCCAATGTTGTGTTGTTGTTGTTACTGTAAGTTGTAAATGACTAGTTCATCTCGACAATACTTGACAGCCAATGTTGTGTTGCTGTTGTTACTGTAAGCTGTAAATGACTAGTTCATCTCGACAATACTTGACAGCCAATGTTGTTGTTGTTACTGTAAGTTGTAAATGACTAGTACATCTCGACAATACTTGACAGGTCAATGTTATGTTGTTGTTGTTACTGTAAGTTGTAAATGACTAGTTCATCTCGACAATACTTGACAGCCAATGTTGTGTTGTTGTTGTTGTTACTGTAAGCTGTAAATGACTAGTTCATCTCAACAATTCTTGACAGCCACATCTCTGTGGATAAAGGATTTTTATTGGTCAAAATGAAAGCAAGTAGTCACTTTCTTACTTTAGTTTACTGAGCAGTTTCCAAGTTTTCCGTGAACAGAACATCATTGTATATTTTGACAGCTTCTACTTGGGCATAGTAATTCTGTTAAAAGTACAAAAAGATAGAAACACGATGGTAATATTACACTATTTGTCACAAGTTATGATAATCTTATTCGGAGTCATAGTGTTTTAAATGTGAATCGTAATATTGAGTGCTTGTAAGTACTAAAGTTAGTTTAACAGGGTATCTTTTTTTGCATCGTGTTAAAACTTTTTTTCCCTTTCTTCAAAGTTAGTTTAACGAAGTAATATTTGTTACATTGAATTAGCTAAGTTTGAAAACTTGATCAGAACCTTGCAGGATAGTGGTGGATCAACTTATAGAAAAATTGTATCAATATGAAACATTTAATTGACTTGCTGAAATAGCCATTCATCTTGTGACTTGTTTTCTAGATGATTGTTTTGCCATTCCTGAGAAAGGATAAAGAACCCAGTTACAAACTTCTTCTTACACTTGAAGACCACTCTTTAGTCCTCGTACATCAGCATGGTAAGATTGTTCTACGTCTGTACTAGAACAGTTTTCATTATTAAAGTCTTAAGTAGTATTCCATTAATACTGTGGTTGTTCTTCACAAAGTTTACTTCCAAAAAGTTCTCCGTTAGAAGGACTGGTGGTATAAATATATAAGACAAAATCTGCAATACTTCTAAGGTCTTAAGTAGTATTCCACTAATACTGTGGTTGTTCTTCACGAAGTTTACTTCCAAAAAGTTCTCCATTAGAAGGACTGGTGGTATAAATAAGAAAAAGGGTTTAATCTGTCTCAAGCAGATTTTCTTAAAACATTTATATCAAAAAAGTTTAGAAAAAATGAAAAAAATAATATGGCTTAAGCATTGTGGTGAAAGTGTGATAAAAGATACAGTGGCACAAATTATTTTATTAAATATACAGAAGATAAAAAACCTTCACTACTTTTCCAACAGCTTTTTAGCATGAAAATGTAAATGTTTTCACAGACGAGTAACATTACAGTGTACCTCCTTCAGCAGTTGTTACATCACTGTGACATAGCCTGGTTGTTAGGGCACTCAACTCGCCATCTGAGGATCCCAAGATCAAATCCCATCACTTCAAAATTAGGGATTGTTAATGCAGATAGCTCTCGAGTTGCTTTGTGTGAGATATCTTATTGTTAACTCTTACATAAGACTTTCCTCATAACTTCTGAAACACACACACACTGACCAGTAGGTTAGATGTGTTAATTTAAACAACACAGATATTGTTTAAATTTTCTGGTAATAAACAGATGTTTAGGAGTTAATGTGGGATTGGTGTCGATCAACAAATAAAAATGGAAAATAAAAGCTGGATACTCGTACTGTAGTATATATAATTTAACCACTTAGGTTAAACTGCTAAAATTTTTTTGATGCCGGTTTATCTTACTAGTTTTTGTACTTCAACAGAAAATTATTGTGTGTATAATAACAGCTCTTGGCATCATCTAAAGATTACGATAGCTTCTCCGTTAGAAGGTGGAGCTTAAAATAACTTTTTTTTTCTTTCTTCTTTCAAACAAGTGCTTTATTTTTCACCATCTTAAAAAAAACCTGAAAATAATAGTTTAATGTCACCAAAATGAAACAAAACAAAATATCAGAATTTTTTATAAAAGTAAAAAAATACATTTTTTAACTGATGGTGTGGACTTGATTTGGTGAAACGTAGCTTAATTTATTACAGCTGTGCCATGCTTGATGTATTTTACAGTTAAATACAAAAATGTAAAAACATCGTGAATGCCAGTTTTCTTGCCATCTTCAAGTTTCACTTTGGAAAGTATTTGGAAGGATGTCAAGGTCAATGAACTTAGATTATTTGCATCTTAAGATGTTGAATTTGGTGATTAGAAAATGGTTTATATTTTGATTTCTTTATGCATTTATCTTTTTAAGGAAAATGTAAAACTAGACTGTCTATAATTTGTAACGAAGGTTCAATATATAGGTTGAACTGTGTTTTCTTTCAGCTCGGATCATAGTTGAAGAATTGCTTCTCGTAGAGATGGCTACCTGGATGTGCTTAATAATAGTTGTACTGATACGTAAAAATTTGTTTAATAAAAATTTACCTGGAAACTTATAAAGTGTTTTATGTAGGGAAGGTGTTCTGGAGTCGAGAAGAAGCTTTAGCATCAGTGCTGTCCGTTGAAATAGTGGACTTGCCGTTGTCCGACACAGATGCAAAAATTGAACAAGAGTTTGAACTTGCTGGTGGTATTGATTAGAATTTTAATATTTTGAACTTTTACTGTCACAGAACTTGACTTTGTGGAATTTCTGGTGATGAGTTGAAACCATTTAAATTATGATTTGAAACTGTTGTTACTAGCCTACAGTTGTGGGAACTGATGTGTCAGTATTAAACGACTAGAAACCTTATTTGACAAGGCTGCTGACACTGTGATAGGTTTAGATCTTGACAGGTCAGTATTGAATGACCAGAAACACTATTTGACAAGGCTGCTGACACTGTAATACTGACCTGTCAAGATCTAAACCTATCGAATGACTAGAAACCCTATTTGACAAGGCTGCTGACACTGTGATAGGTTTAGATCTTGACAGGTCAGTATTGAATGACCAGAAACACTGTTTGACAAGGCTGCTGATACTGTGGTGCTTTAGGTGTACTATATTAATTAATTACTATATTAATTAATTGATGGTTTCAGTTAGTATTCATAGCAAATGGGTAGTAAATACTTTATATAGAAATATATAATCATTAATAAATCGTTCTGGCAATTATTTTATTTCTATTATTTTGAACAATTACATATGAGGTATGGTATGTAAATTGTTTAATTTTAAAAAATTAATAACTGATTACAGTTTAATTATTTAATTACTGATTAATAACATTCGTCTACTGATGTTTTTTAGCTCATTCACTAGTTAGACTTTCTTATTTTTAAACTAAAGATGTGTAAAAAAAAAAAAACATTTTAAATTGTTCTTATCTATTCCATGTGTCAGTGGCTAGTTGATTTTTTGCTTGGTGCAAGAAGTCATTTAGTATGCTACACCTACACTATTTAGAAGTTCTTACTTGTAATATCTAAGTGGTAAACTGTTTAAATTAACAAAGCTAGGGAGTTTTTAGATGTATTAAATGTGGTAAAACGTCAGGTTTGAATGCAGAATTTTTTTTTGAAAAATATCCTACGTTTCCAAAACCTGTTTATCATCATATAATTTTTGTACAGCTGATGTAACTACTGCCCTAATCACTCGCTTAACTACACAAGCTCTCCAGCTGCAGACATTTCTTTTGGGAACACTGATGGGTCTTGGGGGAAAAGGATCTTTTGAAAGTGGTACATCGGAATTAATCAGGGACAAGTTTGGCTTACACAAGGTCATTGTGTTAGTCTCTGCCTCGGGAAAGGTATAAACTGTTTTAAATACTAAAAGAATGAAGTTGTATTGATAGAATTAAACTTTGTATGATTCTTCATGTATTATCTGTTTAATTTAGATTGTATTTGTTACTAATTCATATCTGGTTTGAATATTTTGTGGATGACCTGGATGAACCGACTTTTTTTTTTTATCTTCACACAGTTTCAAAGCATTATCCATATTTCATCCTTTTTTTTTGTGACCTACAAATTGATCACGTTATTAGTTTTGTCCCAGTACTTTTTTACCATTCATTATCTAACCAACATCTAAGAAAGCTGTTACAAATCACAGTGATAACTTATAACTTAACTCTTTCAATAAGAGCATGGTTAGCTTTGAAAAACGTGGAATTTACTTTACCTGTTTTCCATGGCTTGCAAACTTGGAATTACTGATTGGATTGGAAATAACACGAAATTTAGTCCTTGTCTTTTTTCTCTTGTTTGTTTTGAATTTTGTGCAAAGCTACATAAGGGCTATTTGCGCTAGCCGTCCCTAATTTAGCAGTGTATGACTAGACTAACCTAACCTAACCAAGTCCAGTTTTGGTACCCACGTTGGGCAGGAAACAGGTAGCCCATTGTGTAACATTGTGCTTAACAAAAGCTGTATTAATTAAGTGTATTACATTTGTTTCACAACAACTTGCTTGCTCTCAGTTTCTCAAACTAAGAATCGAAGAAAATGCAAAAGAAAACAAGAATTTACAATAAAAAATGAATGGATTTTTTTATTGTCACCCCTTGTCTTAAATCTTAACGAAAATAAAATCAGTACATACAGCATTTCTGTTTCTATGGTGACAGATCAGATTATTTGTTAATATTGTTGTAACTTCTCCTATGGAATAATATTAGTGTTACTCAAGAGAAGGAAGTTGGTTGAAACGTATATTTAAAAAATTTTGAAAACAGCTAAAATTGGAGAGAAAAAATATGAAATAAAACAACATTTCAACACTGTTAACGTGGGATGTTAACAGTGTCAAAACATTGTTTTATTTGATGTATTTTTTTCTAGATACCTCCAGCATCAATATTTGATTGAAATATAAATTCATTACAGATGAACCACCCAGTGTACCAGTGTTTGCCAAGAAAACAATAACATAGTTTTTTTTTAGACATTCAACTAAACAAAATATACAATCTCTTTGCTACATCTATTTACCGTAAGAACACAGTGTATAAGCCAGTAAAAGATTTAGAACAAGGTTACGTTTGAAGGAGTCTGGTACGAAGTTGTTGAAACGAGTGTATAAGCCAGTAAAATCGTTTCAACAACTTCGTACCAGACTCCTTCAAAGGTAACCTTGTTCTAAATCTTTTACTGGCTTATACACTCGTTTCAACAACTTCGTACCAGACTCCTTCACTCCTTCAAATGTAACCTTGTTCTAAATCTTTTACTGGCTTATACACTTGTTTCAACAACTTCATACCAGACTCCTTCAAATGTAACCTTGTTCTAAATCTTTTACTGGCTTATACACTCGTTTCAACAACTTTGTACCAGACTCCTTCAAACGTAACCTTGTTCTAAATCTTTTACTGGCTTATACACTCGTTTCAACAACTTCGTATCAGACTTCTTCAAACGTAACCTTGTTCTAAATCTTTTACTGGCTTATACACTCGTTTCAACAACTTCGTTCCAGACTCCTTCACTCCTTCAAATGTAACCTTGTTCTAAATCTTTTACTGGCTTATACACTCGTTTCAACAACTTCGTACCAGACTTCTTCAAATGTAACCTTGTTCTAAATCTTTTACTGGCTTATACACTCGTTTCAACAACTTCGTACCAGACTTCTTCAAATGTAACCTTGTTCTA